CCATTCATTCATTCATTCATTCATTCATTCATTCATTCATTCATTATTCATATAAATCATTCATTCATACAAATCCAATCGTTCATTCAAATCATTCATCCATATAAATCATTTGTTCGTTCATTCATTCATTTGTTCATTCATTTGTTAATTAATTAATCATTCATTCAACTTATTCATCCATACAAATCATTCATTCAAATCATTCATTCGTTCATTCATTCGTTTGTTTAATCCATTCATTTATTAAAGTCATTCATTCAAATAATTCATTCATACATACAAATTATTTATTCTTTCATTGCAATATTCATTGCAATCATTTAATTAATTCATTCATTCATTTATTTGTTTATTCATAGGTTCATTCAAACCATTCATATATTAATTCAAATCATTCATTCATTCTTTCATTCAAATCATTCAATCATTCATTCATTCATTCATTCATTCATTCATTCATTCATTAAAATCAATTAATCAAAATTAACTCATTAATTTATTCATTAAAATAATTCATTAATAATTCATTAAACTCAATTCATTTGTTTATTCATTCATTCTTTCAATTCATTAATTTATTAGAATTCATTTAAATTATTCATTTGAATACTTCATTCATACAGATAATTTATTCATTTATTGCAATTTATTATTTCGTTCATTCATTCATTTTTCCATTCATTAATTTATTATTCATTCAAATCATTTATTAACTCATTTGACCAATCATTCATTTGTTCACTTAGTTGTTTATTTATTCAAATAATTAGTTCATTCATATAAATCATTCGTTCATACAAATCCAATCATTCATTGAAATTATTCATTCGTTCAAATCATTTATTCATACAATATATTTAATCAAATCATCCATTCATTCATTCATTCATTCATTCAAACCATTCATGTGTTTATTCATTCAAATCATTTATACAAATATTCATTCAAATCACTCATTCATTCTTTCAAATCATTCATTCATTCATAAATCATTCACTCGTTCACATCATTTATTTGTTCATTCGTTCATTCATTCAAATCATTTCTATCATCTTATCACATCATTTTTTTTTTTTACATTTTTTGCCTTTAAAAATGTATGTATATATATATATATATATAAATTTTTTGAGTGTGTGTGTCTGTGTGTGTGTTTTGTCCTCCTCTTGGCACTGGAAGGAATGTTGGTATTCTGCTTGAAAACCCAGATCGCCGGGCAAGTGTTTAGAGAGAGATAGAGCTGTGGTGTCGAGGGATTTGTGACACGGGCAAGCAGATGTGCCAGATCCAATCAAACGCGCTTACTAATGGCTGCCATGGTGACCAGCTCAGCCAATAAGAGTGTGTTTCAAAACCACTTGCTATCTTGTACTTGCGCTGCCCAGTCCAGGCCAAACTGATTCAGCGGGTAATTGAGAACAACTTGTTAATGAAGGCTTTCGTATGCAGGAATTGTGTATGTGTGCATGCATGGTTGTGTTGTTGGGTGTTGCGTGAGGTTGCACGTGCATATTGCTCTAAATGCAATGCAATATCGGAAAATATGATGTTTTTCCATGTCACAAACCCCCTTGTCAGGTAAGCATAAAGCCAATTAGCACCTGCTAACAAGATGTCTGGGTAATATAAAAAGTGTGTGTGCATGCATGTTGCAATTACACAGGAAGACAAGCTATTCCCAACAGGCGCACATCGTCACCGCATTCACATCTTTTCCCTTATTCCTTCCTCTCATCCTCCTTTCCTCTGCTCCAAAGCCCTGAGTACAGCTTCCCTCCATCTGTCCCTCCGTTTTTTCCTCATCGTGTTCTCCACGTCACTCTCCCACAGTGTATATTCCCTATCTTTCCATCTTTTATCACTCAATCTCTCTCTCCTGCAGATTGCAAGCACATATCAGCAAAAGTGCCAGGGTGCTGAAAACCCTCCAGTTAAACTGTTATGGCCCTTAAATTGCTGCCCTCGGTGCTCTGAGAAATCAGATTTCTGAATGTCCTCCAATGATAAATGGGGGTTGAGTTGTTTTTTGTTTGTTATTTTTTAAATCTGAATTAAAGTCGTGGGGTAAGTTGTGTCACTGCAACCTTTAAGACAGTGGTTCTCAAAGTGGGACCAAACGGCAACCTCCCACTCTCCCTTGTGAAACTAACATGGAAGTAACTGAAACTGCATTTCATCAAAACTCCGCTAGTCCTAGAGCAGATTTCTATTGATCCCAATGTTAAAATGGCCTACTTCATAGCAGAAAAAAGGTGTTTTCAGCCCGGTACAAAGAACAATATTGATTCATATAGCTAATATTACCCTTCATGACAATTGTGAGGGGAGCGCATTTTTTTAGAACTCATCCGTTTCGTTTATATAAAGTCTCCATAATTAAGGGCGTGGCCACTTGAGTGACAGCTAGGTCTCGTTGGTTGCTGTCACTTCACCTCTAAATTCCGGCTGATTAGCTGCTGAACTCGACATATACATTGTATTTTTGGTTTTGTTTTATGAGGCTTTACACAGTCAGTTGCTTTTTGGAATTATTTCTCACAATTATCAGATGATATGGCATGCTGTGTGCACCTAATTGTGCTAGCAAATATTCTAACAAACTGCAGTTTTTTTGTCATGTGACAATGTTTTTTTATATTATTTTTCCATAAGAGATATCTTTGCCATTTCTTAGTTAAAGCAGGTAATTTATGGCCCGTTTCCACTAACTGGTAAAGTACGAATAAATGTTTAAAGTAAAGCTGAACGGGTCGTTCACATATCATACGAGAAACACTTCTCACAAAACAGATGCGTTATACACATAAATATTTGTGGATAAATGTTTATTACTAACTTTTCTGTGAACATAATTTAATTATAACTGCAGATCAATGTCACATCTGCAACATCTGCAATATAAAATAAATAAATGCAACATATATGAACACATTACAGCCCCTTACAGTCTCCGATATGTCACCAATTACAGAAAAACTACACACAGCATACATTTAGTCCTTATTTTGGTTCAACACGCAACACAGCCCACAGTCAGTGCAAACCTCTCATCTGTGTGTTTACAGTAATTCTGTCATTCTGTCAAGTATCTCGCACTTTTAGACACCCTCGTAAAACAACAGTAGGACACAGCAGATTTTGTTCTTTTTTCGCCTTTTGACTGGAAACGGCCATAAAAGTTTACCGAACCATACAGTACCCTACCGTACCACTCAGTGGAAATGGGCCATAAGCTGCTTAATATTGAAAATTAGTATTGCTCAACATATTATTTTAATGCATCATCTTAATTAATAAACATTAGATTGTTGCATCAACTTTGCTACCCTGCCATGGCTGCAGCAGGTGCAATGATATTATACAGCACAGTTGTTACCTAGCTACCTAGCTTGGGGTGATTTTCAGGGACTGCGTAATATCATTGCACATGCTGCAGCCATGGTATGGCAGCAAAGTTCCTTCATTGTTATACCGTTATTGTTATGTCTATTTTCAAAAATATTTTGTATGTAATAAATATTGTTTGGGGTGTAACGGTATATGTATTTGTCCCGAAATTATGGAGTTTTCAGGGAGAAATAACAAAATGGGAGGGTGGGAGATGCGAAACGGGAGACACGGGAGAGTGTTGGCAGGTATGGTTTATATATTAACTTTACAGAAATGTGCCCACATCTAAAAATCTCGAAGGCAGGTGCTCGATCAAAAATAAACAGTAGCAAAAGATTAAAAAAAAAAGTTTGAAACGTTGTTTTGTGATATTAAAAGACTTTTTGAGAGCTAAAGTGGCTGTGTGCCGATTTTCTTGTGATATTTTGCTATTTTACAGGGTGGGGCATTTATATGCATTCACCTTAATAAAATGGGAATGGTTGGTGATATTAAGGTCCTGTTTGTGGCACATTAGTATATGTGAGAGGGTAAACTTTTCAAGATGGGTAGTGAACATGGTGGCCATTTTGAAGTCGGCCATCTTGGATCCAACTTATGTTCCTTCAATAGGAAGTTAAAGTTTAACTGGCCTCGGACAGTTTAGTGTATTTTATTTTAGTTTAGTTTATAAGCCATTTAAAGGCGCATCTTTTTACTCAAACATTTAATTGACAGAATCAGTGTTTGTGTATTTGGATTTTTAACTTGTTTTAATATGTTCTCCCTGCTGAAAAATCCAGCTTAAACCAGCATAGGCTGGTTTAAGCTGGATTTTTTTTAGCAGGGCTAACATGTTTTCTTTTATTGTTATGTGCTCTTTTACTTGTCTTCTCTTATTGTAAAGCACTTTGTGACTCAATGTCTGGGAAAGGTGCTATATAAATAAACCTTTACATGCTTACTTTAGTTTAGTCTGCGTCAAACCTGCAGGAAAATATCAGTCTTTGCTCAAAGGCTGATTATTTTACCAACGATTAGTGTCAATAGTTGTAGCCTATTACAGATTTCAAAGAAAAATCTTAATATTAAAAAAGGAAACATAAGCTGGACCACAACAGATAAACGTCAGTTAGATTGTGCCGTCTGTCATGTATAGTAGGCCAATAGGTCTGTTACTTTTACTTAAGAAGACATATTATTTTAGTTTAGCACCAGAGCTATAGAAACTGTATTATGCTTAGAGAGAGAAAAACGCCACAGTATTGTGATCAGATCTGTATTGATCGATACTCTGAATTTTGGATATCGAGCTCAGATCGGTTCCAAAAAAATGGTTTCGGTTCATCCCTACTTTTTCAGTTACATCCATAACGCATGATTATTTTCCTCATTTAAAATATAAAAAATATTTACAGATTGATATTTTTCTGATCCCATAACTCTGTGGTTAGTTGTTTTGGAAAATATAAACGGATGTGTCAATATAATGTTAACATTTACTTTCTCTGTGAATTTATGTTTAGAATGTCTACTGCAAATGTCACATCCATAATTCTGGAACTGATCTAATGTATAGATTACACATATGAGTTCGAGTCTCAGTCTCCCCAATTTCCTTCCTATAGTGGATGGTGCCATTCACCGTGGAGCTGGTCCTCTGCTGCGGAAAGAATGCGCCACTCTGAACGGCTGTGAAACGGGGGAGGCCAAGATCACCGGAGCCTACGGTCTGCCAGCGAGATGTGAGTCGCTCATGAAACACACCCATCATCATACAAATGCCATATAAACATCATCCTGAAGCGCTTTGAGCTCTGTAATGTACGCTGATCAATTCTGAATCATCTGTTAGAGTTAAAGCCAGCACATCTCCAGCAGTACACGAGCGAAGAGCAAACCTTTCCTTGTGTTTACGCTTGATCGCATCAAAGTCAGCGGCGTACTTTTGCAGAAACTAAATTACACTTGATAAATGTCATCAAGTGCGTTTTTTTACTTCATTTCCCATCTTAGGAGTGTAAGCAGGTGTTGTGCAACCTCTCTAGCGAAATGTCAAATGGTTGCGTACATGTTGCACGCTGCCATATGAATAAATGAATAAACCATCAACACAAACCTTTTTGCCTATCACTCTCCCTCCCTCCCTCCCTCCCTCCCTCCTCCATTCGTCTCCCTCCCTCTCTTTCACTCTTCCAGAGAGCGTTCAGTAATTATGTAGTCAGACAGTGTTTACAGAAGCAAGCGCACTTTAATTTATTCGCACACTTAGCAGTAATTTCCTTGTCTAATTTATGATCCCCCCCCCCCACCGTACCTAGCCGTTCAGAGACAGAGATGCACACACTGCTGATTCTCCAGCCATCACACATGCACAGATATACACACACTTACACAATCATGCATATATAAACAGAAGTTGGTTTTTGTGAATTGCGGGGACATTCTGGAGGCGTAATGGTTTTAATACTGTACGAACTGTATTTTCTATCGCCCAACACCAATAATTTTACTCTTTAAAGGATACTTTGTGCATGTTTACTTTCTCTAAAAAAAAGTCTCTATGATTTATAAACCTTGGACATAGGCAATGTCCATATACGTCACTTTTTCCTTGTAATACCTGCCAAACCCATGTTATTATAGACCTTTTTCTTGGCTGCTGCATAGAGGGCGCCATAGTGACCAGCGTCTTCCGGTAGAATGATTAGAACTTCCGTTTACAGTGTTTACAATTGGTAATTTGCACTCCGAAAAAACAGGTTTCAGTAGCGTTTTGTGTGGATCACAGAGTGTTTTTGTGACACAAAACTCTGAAAGGTGTGTGTTAAAGCCGTTATAATCTGTCAGATGGGGTTCAAGCGCGAGAGAAAAATGTTCTCGTAGTTTACGTAGTTTATGTATAAACACAGATACACACGCATGCAAATACAAGAACAGTTACGCACATTTACATAGATATGCACAAGAACATATGTATACTGTATATACACAAAAACAAACATATAAACACAAATACACATGCATGCAAATACAAGCACAGATACACACCTTTAAATATATGCACACAAACACGTCTATATGCACAAACACACACATATGAACACAGATACACACGCATGCAAATACAAGCACAGTTACGCACGTTTAAATAGATACACACACAAACACATCTATATACACACAAATACACATATAAACAGATACACACGCATGCAAATACAAGCACTGTTACGCACATTTAAATAGATATGCACACAAACGCGTCTATATACAGACACAAACACACATATAAACACAGATACACACGTATGTAAATACAGACACAGATACACACCTTTAAATAGATATGCACACAAACAAATGTGTATATATACACACACAAACACACATATAAACACTGATACACACGCATGCAAATACAAGCACAGTTACGCACGTTTAAATAGATACACACACATATAAACACAGATGCACATGTTTAAATAGATATACACACAAGCACACATATAAGCACAGATACACACCTTTAAATAGATATGCACACAAACACACATATAAGGACTGATACACACCTTTAAATAGATATGCACACAAACACACATATTAGGACTGATACACACCTTTAAATAGATATGCACACAAACATGCATACAAACACAGATACACACCTTTAAATAGATATGCACACAAACACACATGTAAGCACAGATACACACATTTAAAAATATATGCACACAAACACACATATAAACACAGATACACACGCATGCAAAAACAAACAAAGATACACACGTTTATATGCACACAAACACATCACTATATATATACACACATATAAACACAGATACACACATTTAAATAGATATCCACACAAACGCACATATAAACAGACACACACACACACACATAAACACAGATAAACACGTTTAAATAGATATGCACACAAACACACATATAAACACAGATACACACGTTTAAATAGATATGCACACAAACACACATATAAGCACAGATACACACGTTTAAATAGATATGCACACAAACACACATATAAGCACAGATACACACGTTTAAATAGATATACACACACACACACACATATAAGCACAGATACACACGTTTAAATAGATATGCACACAAACACACATATAAGCACAGATACACACGTTTAAATAGATATGCACACAAACACACATATTAGGACTGATACACACCTTTAAATAGATATGCACACAAACATGCATACAAACACAGATACACACCTTTAAATAGATATGCACACAAACACACATGTAAGCACAGATACACACATTTAAAAATATATGCACACAAACACACATATAAACACAGATGCACACGCATGCAAAAACAAACAAAGATACACACGTTTATACACACAAACACATCACTATATATATACACACATATAAACACAGATACACACATTTAAATAGATATCCACACAAACGCACATATAAACAGACACACACACACACACATAAACACAGATAAACATGTTTAAATAGATATGCACACAAACACACATATAAGCACAGATACACACGTTTAAATAGATATGCACACAAACACACACATAAACACAGATACACACATTTAAATAGATATGCACACAAACACACATATAAGCACAGATACACACGTTTAAATAGATATGCACACAAACACATATAAGCACAGATACACACGTTTAAATAGATATGCACACAAACACACATATAAGCACAGATACACACGTTTAAATAGATATGCACACAAACACACATATAAGCACAAATACACACGTTTAAATAGATATGCACACAAACACACATATAAGCACAGATACACACGTTTAAATAGATATGCACACAAACACACATATAAGCACAGATACACACCTTTAAATAGATATACACACACACACACACATATAAGCACAGATACACACGTTTAAATAGATATGCACACAAACACACGTATAAACAGAGATACACACGTTTAAATAGATATGCACACAAACACACATATAAGCACAGATACACACGTTTAAATAGATATACACACACACATATAAGCACAGATACACACGTTTAAATAGATATGCACACAAACACACGTATAAACACAGATACACACGTTTAAATAGATATGCACACAAACACACATGTAAGCACAGATGCACACATTTAAACATATATGCACACAAACACACATATAAACACAGATACACACGCATGCAACTACAAACAAAAATACACACATTAAAATAGATATGCACACAAACACGTCACTATATATACACAGATATAAAAACACAGATACACACGTTTAAATAGATATGCACACAAACGCACATATAAACAGACACACACACACACACATACATATGTACAAACTCAGATATGTACACGTCTAAACACAGACACACACACACACACACACACACATAAACCCAGTAACACATAAAGTTATTGGCCTCGCTCTCCAGGCTGTGCTTCTGTTAGGATTTACTTCAGTCTTCAGTTGATTTTTCTCTGGAACTTTGTGTTGTTCTTCTCATCTGTTTCTCTCTGTACTGTACTGAACGGCGGGGAGCAGAACAGTAAATATCAGCAGTAATTGTTGGACTGAAATTAGTGTTTGTGTCTGACTGCCTTCACCACATGTGGCTTTTATAATGACTGATGTAATTATAAGTTATGTGCGAGCAGGTGTTTGGGTTATTTGGGATGTATGAGCTGTTGAAATGTACCATTTCTAAATTGGATTTTAGTTTTTAAAGTTTCTGTAATGGTGCAGTAAGTAGAGCAGCGTGTTGTTACAAATTCAATGTCTGTCTCTCTAGATTTGTGCGTTTTCGGTCATTTGTCTATGCAAAACTTGCACATACTTCGGTTTTCAGCCCACACCCAAGTCCTATCAGCAGGGCTATTCAATTAGTTTGTCATAAACACAGATATAACAATATAAGAGCCCATACAGTATGTTGTATTTTCACTCCTTAAGACACCCACGTTGTATTTTTCTACATTTAATCTTAATATATTGTATTTTGAAACTACATGAGTGCATTGTACAATGTGGCTTTTTAAACTAAAATTCAAATGTAGTATTTAAAAGCGAAACAAAATCAGTGTATTGCTTAAGTCTTCTACATTCAGACTCATTCATATGTCTGGTTTAGCTCAGCTACCAAATCTGACCTTCGAAGACTACGTTGAATAGTTTGGACTGCTGAGTGATATGTGAATGGCCTGCTGCTATAGTTAATCCAGTGTGCGTGCGTATTAGCTTTGGTGTATAAGCTCGGATCTTTAAACTGTCGCACAGGTGGCATGACTTTGTTTAGTTGCGGCAGTTTCAATCCGTCCAAGAAAAACGCAGTGTTGAGAAGCCTTTAAGATTAAGTATCCAAATGTTTTCGGCTGCTCGCGCCACTCATTCGCTTTATGTCAGGACTCCTCTTGCTGTATTGAACAGAGGCACGTCACTTTAAAACTACGTGTATAGCAGCAATTTTTCGACTGAACTAAATTTGTTTTGATGTCTTGGTCATACTATTTGGAGGACCGGAACAAATTGCCTCAATTGAATAGCCCTGCCTTACAGGGACAGTATGGAAAACACAAATACAAAAGGAAAGTTGTGATTGCTAAATTTACTTTGGCTTGTATTTTAATGCAGACATTAGAAATTATATTATTTATTTTGTTCCTCATTATTTTTATTGTTTTGTATCAAA